GGCGAGGAGGCAAAGCAGCTGTGGCCGCCACGTGAGGGCCGAGCGGGGAGACACGACGCTCATCCCCAGCTGTATTTTAGGGCCCAAGTTCTAGGAACGCGGAGGCCCTGGGAGCAGGGGAGAGCTCTGAGCACCCACGAAGGCAGAGCCCCTCCGCATCCGTGTCAGAAATTAGCATTTGCCTCCATTTTCTCAGTGTCTCAGTATGAGGGTCTGGAGGCAAAGAGATTATTTAAAGCACAAAATTTTCTAACACAGCTGTCACCCGGTGGTAAGCACAGACACAAGCACCAGTGCTGGAGGGGGCTTAGCTGGAATGGGAAGCGATACATGGCCCCAGGTCTACAACCCCAGGCAGGTCTCTCTTCCCCTGCCCTTCTAGGCAAAGTCCCCTTCCGAGCAGCTCAGCTCCCTCCTCACTCAGGTTTGGTGGGGGCATTCTCAGCTACTTCCTATGTCAGATCATGCCAGATGGTCAGAAGCTGGTTGCATATCCATGTTGAGGCAGCCCTTATTGCTACCAGGATCAGATCTCATCCCCATGTGAGGATGTGGATTGCTCTCCCACTGGCTTCTCCAGCCGCGGTGAGGCTGCAGGGGAGGGAGTCAGTGCTCCAAGTGGCATGGCCCAGGTGGCCCAGGCTGTCTCACCTGCTGTCATGCCAGGGTGATGCTCAGGCATAGCACATCCGAGGCATGTGCTCCTTCGGGAGCAGCTGTGCTGCAGGGATGCAGCCAAACACTGCTCTGCCGCCCACAGCCACACACTGCCTGCATCTTCCCCAGAGCGTTTCCTCTGCAGCATGCACAGCTTTTGTCGTCACACCATACATTTTAGCCTGTCATCCTGCCCTGGTATCCCTGAAGATGAAAACGCTTCTGTGCCCTCGTGCTGGGAGTAGGAAGGGGGTGCTTGCTGGATTGTTTGCAGAGAGAGCTGTGGCAGAGCCCAGTGCTCAGCTCCACTGACCATGCCAGGCCTGAGGCTTTAAAAAGAACTGTGGTGCAGGCACAGCCTGGCCTCCCTTCCCCTTGCTTAGTCTCTCTAGTAAGAGATTTCTGTCATCCCTCACTATTGCCCTGGATCCTGCAGAGTGAAGGCAGCAGTGGAGTGTAGAGGTGACCCTACTATCCAACACACAGGGCCAGGGCAACAACAGCTCACGTAGCAGCCCAATTCAGAAGGCTCTTGCCTGCTCCCAAAGTCCCATCCTTCCTCCTACTCTCTCCTCGCAGTGCCCTACATGCCAGCTCACCTCCCAGAGCACTGCCTCAAACCCTACCCAGATCTGTTAGGCATGGTTTTACCCAGGGAGGCAGAAAGCTGACTCCAGGCCCCTGTGACAGGAGATACGTGCAGTAGGTTTCAATACTGAGAGCTGTGCAGGAAAGGTTAGGAAAAAGGGGAGGTGTTATTATCAGGGGAACAAGTGGGGTCCCAGTCCTACAGAGCTGAGGGAAGAACTGAGAATACCAGTCATGTATGAGCACCTACCTGGCTCCCAGGCTAAAGTCATGGCAAGAATGACAGAGACTCCTGCAGAATGAGAGGCACGTGCTGGCCCGTGCTGGCCCTCAGGAAGGAGGCACTGTGGATTCATTTACCATTTTAACTATGCAAGAAACCAAAAATTAACTAAGTTTTAAGGTTTGTGGATTTTACAACCGTTGTCTATAATAGTGGTAAATTGGAAGTGAATATCAAAGATACCAGATATCTTTCTTATCAAGAGCAGCTGTTCTTTGAGGATTGATTAAAAGAAAAAAAAAAAAGGCAACAAAAAACCCCTTGTTGCCCATTACACGAAAAGTTTGGGTTGTTTGCAAACTGTTTCTTCCAATGCTTGAAAGCAAAGCATGTGAAAGAAAGAAAAGTGACAGCAGAATAGAGAATAGCTGAACACCAGATTAGAGGAGAATGCCTCAATCATCACGTCAACTCATCTCCACCCCTGCTGCAAGCAGCTACAGCACTGAGCCCTTCAAAATATTTTTGAGAAGTTTTATGAAGAAAGATTTTTTTTCTCCTGCTATCCTTAGTGAAAGGCTAGTCCAGCAGTGACAAATTCAGCCTCTAGAAAAAAACATTTTCAATTCAGTACTCCATCCCACATCTTCCACACATCCCTGAGCTGTTACAGCTCCGGCAGCTCTAAAGAGCAAGGGCCTTTGTATCTTCTACTTCACCAAGGTGCTGTAAGTGTCAGATATATTTAAGAGCATGAAGCATTCAGATACTATGGAAACCAGGACAAGAGAAACCCCAAAAATAGATGGAAGACGCAAGCTGTTGTAAAGTCTGGAAAAGTCTTGCTGAGGAAGGCTGTGCTTGCTGCAGCTGATCACAGAGTGGGATCCATTTAGAGCTCAAGCATAAAATATCCTCTCTCCACTCTCTTCATAGTTTGTCATTTTTCTCTGGATATTCTTTAACTTCCCCTCTATTTAACAGGCCTCCTAACTACCACTTCCTTTGAATGATTCACTGTAGTGTGCCCTTCCCATGACCTGGGCCAGCCCGCTGCCTGACTGCTTCTATATAGCAGGAGTATTTGGGAACATATCATGAGAAAAAACACTACAGAGCACTCTCCTAAAAGGGAAATCCAAAGCAACCTACAGAGAAGGGTGCCTGAAACAAAGAGTTGAGGTGGCAGCCTGTGAAACACTATGATTCTTCTCTTTATAATGCAAACACCTGTGTTGTGCATATTCAACCTCTACAGACAAACCAGTTGCTGAAGTAGAATGCCTTCACTCAAAAAAACAGTATAGCATGTAGAGGAAACACAAAGGATGCCAACATGAGGTATACAAACCATCTTACTCAATAGTCAACAAAATCTAAGTCAGTAACAGTGTAGACGAGCTAAAGTACTCCACAATAGAGACAGAAGCCATCTACCCCTGGAAAGCCAGGTTGTGGTCATGTCCCTCACCAGCACAGACCTCAAGTCTGCATGAGACCAGAGGTGCTGAAGTCTCACTTCACAGCACTGGCTCTAGTTTCAGGTGCTTATTACAAGCAACTTCTTGAAAAGAGAAGTCTCTCGTCTTCTCAGCATGACCACCACCTCAGTGAGGAAGCCCCATCAACATGAGAAAGAGGCCCCAGATGAGAATCCTTGTCTTTATATGCCAGTGCACCTAAGGAAAAGTAAATAGATTGAAGGTGTCCGAGATTCTTCATCTTATCATTTCTTGACAGCAGCATCAACCTTGGGAATGATCTCCAGCTCCTTCCACTGTTCTGTGGACAGGGCAATCCCTAGAAACAGGAGCAGGAGAGGTTTCAGAGGGGTAAGCATCAAGTAGCACACCTGACTGGCTTCTTCAGACTAGCTGCAGATGGGAAAGCTGGAATCTGAGACAGAGGCACAGTCCAGAAACAGAAGCAATTTTCTAAGCATGGCAGTTGTACCAGCACTGCAGCATCCTTAGCAAGAAGTACCTGATGCTATCACAGAAGCACCATCTGAGAATACAAGCTCAAATTGCCTTTCATGAGTCCCAGAGTCCCTTATGGGCTATCCTCTAGTACAAATTCCCACTCATATGAGCCGGGAAGAAATTCTAGGAGAACCTTACTCCACACAGCAGTTAAGACACCATCCTTTGAATGGCCCAAGGGAAATAATGCCAACTCTAGCTCTGTTCAAAAAAAACCTGCTGATAACAAGGAATCACTAGTGTGGCTTAAACAATAAAAAGAACGGTTTCTTTTTAGATTCAGCAGAGGTAAGGTCTTTATATCCTCTCCCTTTCTCTTACAAAACAGACACTGTAGTGAAATTGCTGCATGGGTTTCCAGTCAGATATTGTCAGCTTGTTCCTTTTGGGTTTGTTAAGAATTACATTAAAGAACTGAGGACCATGCTTTATTAAATTATCTAGATAAAGATCAGGGGTCAAGAACTCTTCAGAAAAACAGTAGATGTGGTATTTAAATGAAAAAACATTTCTTCATGATCTCTGTTTTAACTGACAGATCTTCTGTCTTACATTGTGGGCATGCTTTTTCCCTCCTGGAAGGAGTTCACAATGCTCCTTTCCCTCTCTGATCCCAATGGCACAGAAAAGCTTGAGGGCTTTGCTTCCCATTTTCATTACAGGGTACACAGCTCCCTCCAAGAGAGTAATTTGTACTTGTAACTTCTCTGAAAGAAATTAATCTGAAAGGAAAACCATGCTTAGTCATCCAATATTATAGGTTATGCTCAATGATCTCAGAGGTCTTTTCCAACCTAATTAATTCCATGAAGCAAACCAAGCTGAAACAAATTAATCTACCCTCACACAAAAATCTATAGCAAGGATCAAAGGATTCCTCAAGAAATCCCACATTAACTGAATTTATGCTGGGCACAATACACAGGGCAGGTGAAAAGAGTCCAGGGCCTGTGAACTTGCAGGCAAGATGGCAAGTCACTATCAAAATGCCAAAGCATTTCTTCTTGAAAGAAGGGTCTTAACACGGAGAACCCCTTTAGAGGGGCCACTGGAGGAGGCAGAATGAACGTACAACGTACAGCGTTTGACTCTCCCTTTCTGTAGTGTTTAGGTCACTTTCCCACTCCACAACTATGACCACTGTCCATGTAAGACTTGGACAAACTCATGCTCAGGGAACAGATCTCCTCTTGCAATGCTTATAACTTGAATAAATAGTTTAGTGTTCAAATGGTCATTTGGTAATGACAGAGACACAACAATCTCTATGAGCACAGTGTTGGCTTCTAAGGTAACCAGTTTTTCACAGTATCAAAGCTGTTTTGCATAGAAACTTTACAGGAATTCGCTCACCTCAAGGTGGTGGAGTCGTGTCTGGAATTCGTAAATGTTTTGTGTCATACTATTTTACTTTTGACTATAGAGAAGGGAGGAAGCCTTTAAACACATGGATTTTCTTTCTTTTTGTAGAGGGATCTATTCCTCCAAATAATGCAAGGAGACTCCATTTTTTTGGGCTTCCATCAGCAAATAGTTCTCTGACAAATCTGTCCATCAAACCTACTCACTCACTTTATTTTTCCAAGGGAAAAGAGACAAACAAATAAGAAAATGAAAAAAGTTAAAATACTTAAATATTATTACATTTATGGTCCAAAAAATATGTAAATCAACTGCAGTGAATTTTCTATTAGCTTTTAAATATTCACCTCAATATACATTTGTTCTTTAGGGCACACAAGAGATAAATAATTGAGTTAACATTGCTAGATAAATCAAATCTTTTTCCTGAGCTGCAAATATTCCAGATTATAACCTTGAAGTTGCTATGCGATAACTACAAATGGAAACTAAACAGATCAAAGTGAGCAAGCAGGAACCCACACCCAAGCACCCAGAGGCCTAATTTACTGAGACATATAGTAGCAGCCCCATCATTTCAGATCAGTGAGTCAAGACTGAATGGCTCTGAAATGTAAAACCCAGCTTGGCCACAGGGAGCAGGAGAAGCTTGGGATTTGAGCTTGTGCTATGAACAATATGAGAGTGCAAGATTTAAAACAAACAAAAACTCTCAAAACCAAGCCCCACAACAATTTTGGATAGCTGTGGTTTTGAACATCTAATAGATTATGGTGACTCTTTCAGCCGCAGATAGCGAGATACCCAATTCCATTTTGGTTTCAGGATCTTCTCTGCACTGAGTATAAGAATGGAGTTCATATTGCACAGCATTACTTATCTCCTAACAATAAATGAACCTCTCTTATGTGGGAGATAAACTACGATAGTCCAAACTACTTGCATAAAATCCCCACTAGTGCTCATGAAAGTGGGAGTAGACAGAAGGCATTAACAACTTCAGTTAAACCCCGCTAGAAAACCATTTTTTTGTGAGCTGCAGACTTTGACAGCTAAAGGTAAAGTCAGACAAATAGCAAAGAAAATGGTTTTCTGGCTAGAAGCATCAGCTGCTAGCCACTTGTGTATATGTGCACATATGCTTTCCATGTTCTTACCTATAGGCCAGGCAAACTCCTCACAAGAGAAAGATAGGTAAAAATAAGGGCAACAAGAATCAGCTACACAGAGCTCTTCTGCAGTGTTGTGGAGAACTTTTATTTTATCATGACACCTGTTGAATTTCTGCCTTTGTGTGCTGTGTTGGTGTCAGAATTGATCAGATATGCTGCAGTGTGGATCAGCACCAGAGTCTATTTGCAAGCTTCTCTGTTAACTTACCAAAGAAAACAACAATGTGGAAATAGCAATGTGGGAACTAAATTCAATCCCAGGATGGGCACTGTGTTCCAGCCATGAGAAAGTTCGAATTTGTTTATCTCAGATTTGAGCATATATGTTTCAGCACACATGCACTTTGATCAAAAACTCTCATCTGTAGTAAAAACTACTTGCTAAGGCAGGCAGCTAGAGAAACACAAAATGCATCCAAAAGAATTATGGGACAAATTAACCTTGTGTGGGAGAGAGCGATATATTGTCCCAACTGCCCTTCAGGTTTATAAACTCATAAATCTTATCCATCTTTCTTTTAAGTTGTTGGCACTGCATCAGGAGTGTTAACAGTTCATTGTTGAGACCACATGCAGCTAAAGTGTTTTCTTTAGTGCTACAGCATTGACGGGGACACAACTGCAACTACACTTGGGTTGCCTTGTGGTGGAAGTTTTTGACTCTGAACTTTGAGCTTCTCATCTGGAAGACTGAGGGCTGACAGTCTCCACTGCAATGAATAATGTTCCGGGCCTGTTCTGTTCACTCTTGCCCACTGCTGGCAAATTTTATATTCATCAACTCAAGCTGTAGCAGGATTGCTAATAATTTTTTCTATTTTTCTCAGCAAAGTAACAGAGTGAATAATTAGGACTGGTTAAGTAATCTGCTGGATTGGAGGGAACACCACCTCCCTAAGTTTAACACACTAGAAATGTATGATGCAGCTGGAGGACTTTGAAACTACTTCCAGACACTCAGAGCCTACAGAGTTCTTCAGACAACCACTGTACCATGCATGTTCTAAACCTACCCAGCACAGAGAATGCACCTTCCCATGGCACATATTGTAATGTCTATGGGCACAGAACAAAAGCCAGTGGAAAACAATCAAGTGTCTTTCAGGCACTTCAGCAACTTCTGAAGTCATTATAAATTCATTTGGCAAAGGAGTGTCATGAACACTTCATGCATGCAGAGAGACATATTTCAAATAAGCACTCAAAGATCAGGAAAAGGCAGGTTTCCCTTGTAGGGCTGATATTTCAGGAGTGCTTGGCACCATGTCACCTGGTGATATGATGGTGAGCTGCTGACACCAGCATCTGTCCTGGAAAAGACAAGATCCTTTAAAAAACAAGTTGCTACACATTTAAAGTAGCAGAAAGCACATCATGGGGTAAGGGTACTCCAAGAAGGAGACTATGGTGAAACAAAGAAAGATGCATGGAAATCAGTGCTTTGGTGCCCATCCAAAGGACAAGGCCAGTGACCGGTCACAACAACCCGTTTTTTAACAAGCACGTGCACAGCAGCTGTGTGCAGACAAGAATGCACAGCTTGACTTTTCCATGCATACAAAAAAAAAGAGGTATACCTTCATTCAAACCCACAATAGCCTTTCAGCCCCTGTAAAATACACTATTTTAATTATAAGTAGTAGTGTAAAGAATAAAAAAAAAAAAAAAGGTATCCACTGTGGCTTGTGAAAAGACGTCATGTACATAGGACAGATCAGAGGGAGGACTCAAACCCTGCACGGTGGCAGGAACAATACTCCATCAGGTTATCTTCTAGAACTACAACTAGTCTAGGACTTGTAGTCAGTATCTTGATATATTTTCCAGGTCTGGGCTGCTCTTGCTCTTGATGCAACCAGCTTGTTTAAGTACATGGAACAGCGCAGAACACAATCCTGCAGCAGTTGGGACAACAGAACACCCCCCAAAGATCAAGCAAGAGTTTAGCACAGAGTGGTGGCAGCCGTGAACTGTCCAAAGACCATAAACTTCCAGAGTAACCAAGTACACAGCAAAATGCATCCTCCAACACAGATGGGAGAGAACCTGTCCTGGCAAGAACCCTAATACCAGAAACTCATCTCAGCAATCTTTCCTCGTCCTGGCAATAACAGTCAGGATCACTCACAGTGCACCTCCTAAAAGGGCATGAGTTACTGCAGTCTAAACAAAATGCAAAAAGGTGCTTGCTTGCTTGCTCAGCATACCTCACTAAAGCCAGGCAGTGAATTTAAGGAAGAGGTACCATAAGAAAACATGCTAATTGCATTCACTTTAATTTTAAACAACTGCTCCGAGTCCTTGTCTGCTGGGCAGAGATAACACGTCACTCTGTAGTTTCGGTTTCCAAGTTGGCTGTATGACACATGTCCATGAAGGTGATGGACTTTGTTTTACACTCATAGAAGCTGCCCAGAATAAGACTGCAGGAATTGGTGGAGTCTCTGAGCCTCTCTCTCACCAAAATGCAAAGGAAAACAGACACGGTGCAAGTCAGGGGAAGAAGGTGAAGAAAAGCACTTAAAAGGTGCACAAGAGTTAAAATTTCATTTTCTTTATGCCTTCCTCCCCTCTGTACAGTAGCAAAGAGGAAGAGAAATAGCAGGGTTCAATGGAAGGCAGAAGGTTTCCGATGGGCTCACCGATGGCTGTGCTGCTGGGTGGGTGATGACTTGTTGCTTCACTGCTGCTTGGTTTTAAGGGATAATCTCTGTATCATCTTGTAAAGGAGACCAAAGTGCTGGAAAAAGAATGAAAAGAAGTAACTATGGCTGTTCTAAACAGACAGAAAACTTAGTAGAAGGCTTAAAACAATACCAACGTGCCAATGCAGTACTAGCACTCTCACCCTGAAGATGGAGTGAGATTTGATGAATTAAGAGGAATTATGACAATGAAGCCAGTTACTTCAAGTTGTACAGAAAGTGATGGCTTACAAAAGTGTTTGTGTAGGTGTGTATCACCCCTTTGTGAAGATGCAACCACTTGTTAAAGATTTTATTTTTTTTTATGCAATTCTGTTCCTTCTGAAGGGGAGAAAGCTTCAGATTTCAACACCTGCAGGATCCTGGTCGCTGTAGAAACACTGCTGCCAGCAGTGTCACAAATGTAAAAACAAACCAGGCAAACACAGAGATTCCCAGTAATTCACAACCCTTTAACCAGATTTTCTCCTGCACCATTTCACCAGTGACTTAGAAATTAACTTAATTCCTCTTTTGATTTTGCTTTGGTTACTTGTGTTTTGATTCAATAACAGCTACTTCAAATATTTGACCGAGATCCAGGCTTCAAACAATTTCAAATTCAAATACAAAAGTAAGGAAGATAGCTGACAAATCAAAGTATATGTTTTCCTTCCTGTTTATGTTGTTACATTGTATTTTTAAATGCTTGTAGTTTCCCCAAACAAATAACAAACACAAATAACACAAAGAGATCAAAATTGAGAGTGACCTAAAATGCTTCCCTTTCATTCATGTTCTTCATGAGCCTAGGCAGGATCAGAAGCCTCACTCACAGTGGCTTGGTTAACACTTACACAAAAACATTACATATAAACAGAGTGGCCAAGGCATGGAGTATCACATTTCCAGGATTACTGGCACGGGATGTATTTATGGTTTCATTGAAAAAAGAAACCAAAACTCTGAAGATGCATTTCTAAGTTGCATCCCAAGTTCAGATATTTCCTAACACTACCTCACTACAAGCAACAAACTTTTAACATTACAGCAAATTTTAGTTGCCTTGAGTAGTCTCAGTTTGAAGGCAAAATAGCTTAGCAAGTGAGTTATGCATGTCCTTGACTACAAGAAACAGCTCTAAAAAACCAGTTTTGCACTAGAATGGCAAGAGACTGCCTTCAGCACAACCAACTGAAATACTCAAAGACATACACCAAAACAGCCAGCTGTTCGGGATAACTGCTTTTAGAGTGGGATGGCATTATTGTTCCAGCTTTAGTGCTGGGACTGTGTGAACACCAGTTACTGTGCTACCCTGATTTATAAGGAAAATAATATGTCTGTTTCCTGCTTCTCTTCTCTTACCTGCACTGCAACATAGGCAACGCCCAAGTAGGCTGCAATACAGACAGCTAGAAGCAGGTCAAAGATTGCTGGCTTGACCCTGTCATAAAGAAAGTACACATGAAATTGCTACAGCAGTTGCCACCACTGAGTGAGACAATAGCCCAACGTGCTCAAGGGAATTCCATACCTGTATGCATTCATCACCTGTTTCAGCTGGTCATAGAAAACAAACTCAGGATCCCTGTGCAAAGAAGAAATTTTTCAGATTCTATTACACTTCTTGATACTGTACTGAGGACAGCCCAGACCTGTCCCCAAGGAGTCCACCCACCCAGAGACAGGGAAGCATGACCACCTCGCATACTAATTTTGAGCTGATTTTAGTCATCAGGTCTTTCTTTTCCCCAAATCAGAAGCCTAAGGACACAATTCAGAACACATGCTATTCAGCTGTCTCCAAAGAGCCATGTTTAAGATTCCTCCCTGTGTTCACTAAACTGCTTCAGCCTAAGCAGGTAAGATGGGATGTAAGCTGCCCTTTCACAACTAATGAAAGCTGTCTAGGAGACCTCAGTCTTTTCCTGCACTCAGAGTGGGAAAGGTGGAACCAAAACAGTGAAAAAAAAAGCTCTTCAGACAGAGGGAGCTGCTGGGTCTTGTTACTGTGCTGTGAGGAATGGTAAACAGCTTTCTCTAGAACAGAGAGCATGAACCAAAACTGTCAGAAAAGCAGAAAAGAGCAATCCCTTCCAGCTGCATGCCAAGAAACCAGAAAAGCTGCAGCTCAGAGACAGTTCTTTAGAGGGGGAAGCCAGTTTGCATGCCCTGGCTGGTTCTTTCATCTCCTTTCTTACCGTTTGTCTGCCTTTACATGATGCTGCTTGACATCCTTCAGGTAGCGTCCCATATAATATTCTAAGGTGTTGAGGAAGGTGCTGTCTTTATCAATCAGCTGGGCAGCCCTGGGTTGACTGCTCAGCCAGTCCATCACTGACTCCAGTTGCTCCTGCTGGATCTGCTACAGAAAAATACCACCAAATAAAGGGCATCAGCTACACACATGCTGAGACCAGACCTCTCTCCCAGACTCTAGAGTCTTTCTTCCCACAGGTTACAAAACCACACTGTGCTCACCATCTGATCTGTGAAGATCTGCATATCTGCAGGTGCTCCCTGCAATGGCAAAAAAAAAAAAAAGAAACAAACAAGCAATCCAGGCTATTGGTGAGAGCAAGCTTGGTTGGGCAGGACAAGTCTGGTCAGCACTGCATGGTGGGCAGCTCTTACCTTGTCTGTTAAATTGTAGATGACCCTTGTCAAAGCTTCAGCAATGATCCTAGTATTCCTGATCAGTGCTTTAGTGTCTATCCGTGCCCTAAAGAAAAAAGAAGGGATTATGGACTTGCCAATGGCATCAGCTTCCTCTAGAAACAACCCTTTTTCACTGCATCATGCACGAGCCTGAATCCAGAGCCCAACTCGCAGTGGTTTTGTCACCTGTCTCCTGACCATCAGAACAACACAAGCAGCTGTGAAGCCAATTTGGGTCTACGGGCTGGATTTAAACTGCAGCCTTCCTTCCCTAAGGCCTCTCACCTCCTGTCCATGATGCTGTTGCGGAGGCTGTCACGGTGGCTCTCCAGGTGGGAGATGGTGAATGCTGGCAAGCGTCGGATCGCAAACCGCTCGTGCTCCCATGCCAGCATGTCCTCAGCCAAGTTAATCTTCTTGTGCACCATGGAAAACTTCACCTCTGGGAACTGGCTGGCAACAACCTGAGGGAAAGGACAAGCCATACACGGGTGTCATGCTACCCACTGCATTATCCCATCATGCACTGCCCTGTCTGCCTAGACCCACTTTTTCTGCATTCCAGAAGGTAAACACACCTCCACCTGTAAGGTGCAGTTATTGCCATTATAAAGCTGGTTTCATATCAAAAAGAGCTGGTTTAATGTCACTACAGGGTAATATAAGGAAGCCATAAGGAAGTGCAGTGGAAAATGCAGCAGATCTACTCTGCTTCATTTAGAACTGCAGCATGAGAATTTGTCTGCACTTCAAATCAAGTGACCATAAATAATACATGAAATATTGCAATGGCACACCATTTCTTTACATCGTCCTTCCTCTCTTGGAGAGCTGCAGCTCCCCACACTAAGTCCCAAGTTCCCTAAAATGTTTTTATTACCATCTCCAGTTCTCTCAGAAATGCATGCTGCAAGGTCCCCTCCTTGGGAGGCTTTGAGACATGGAGATGAAGGCTATTGCCTCTGCCCAGAGTATCAAGGCAGAGAACAAATGCTACGTTGTCCTGCAGCAGGCTGGAATCTGCAACAGAGAAATACAAACCTTTATTGCTATGTCTTGTGCTGGGACTTCCATCCCAAAAAAGCAAGGCTCACACAAGGAGATTCTCACAGGAGGACTGACAATTAATAACAGACATTTAACACAACTGTATTGACACAGACTTTGCCACAGAACATGCTGGAATGTCAGCCCCTTACTCACCAGTGTGGTCCAAATTGTCTTCCAGCCACCGCTTAGTTCCTTGATAATTAAACTTGCCACCTCCAGATGCAAAGAACAGCAAGTTATACCTGGCCATCAAAGAAGCCAGAAAAGCGTTAGCATGCTGCACTCCCAAGAACTCCTTTACTCAGTCTTGGAGGTGTGGTAAAATCACAACTACTAGCACCTGACATCCAAGGCAAACTGTCCATTAACAAACACTTCCTACATGCCACATACTCAGGTAATGGCAAGACAGATTAAAAGGGGGAGTTCCCATTGCTTGAGGATGGAATCTACTTCCCATATCATTCTCTCCACTTGTCCCTAAGCTTGAGCGGAGCTACAGCAAAGAGAACAGAGGAAGGAGCTTGGCCATTAACAGCAGCCGTACTCAGATGGACACAGAACAGAGCAAATTGAAGGACTGTTTGTAACACCCTGTAGGTCTGGAGCAAAAGCCCATCTTATCTGTTCTCAGCTACACACATTTAAGCATAAACAGGGCAGTTTCTTACCCAGCATGGGTACGTCTGTAGGTGTAGAGCCGGGAAAACAGCCTGGCCAGTTCCAGAAGCACTGAGGTACCACTGCCATTGGAGTCAGCACCGTGTGACAGCCACTGCAGGATGAAGCGGGACAAAGACAAGGTGACAAACCTACACTGATTCTCACATACCAGAACAGCTTCAAGATAGCACACCACCACGCTTCACTTGTAACTGCCCCACATCCTTAAGGCCAAGAAAAGACATGGGCAAAGGCCAAATGGGGAAAAAAGACAGGAACAGACAGCTGCAGGAAAAAAGAATACTCACTGGAGCCACTCCAAAAGAATCATAGTGGGCAACTATCACAACTGTGGGCAGGTCTTCTCCACCCAGCCCTGTTAGCCTTCCCTGCAGAGGAAAGAGAGCAGTGTCACTCCGCGTCACCTCTTGTGTACCTGTACAAAGACAGCTTCATTTCTACATGCCTGCTGAGTCTGCCCTGGCCTTAGTTTTGAGGACTCCAGATACTTACATGGCTGAGACTCCCTTGACTTGCCCTATCAGTCCAAATGTCTGATGAAGTCCCAGTAAAATAATTCATTCCATCAACATTGCCAGTTTGAATCCACATACTACTCACCTCCACACTGGGTATAAGCCAGTCATTGATAGCTTTGCTTTGGGCCCCACTGGTCACCATCTGGAAGCCATTGGCAGTTGCCGTGTGCAGCAGAACTAGAACAAAAAAACCCCAAAACCACAATGTACACCCGGGGAAGTTTCATCCCTTTATTTTCCTTGCTAACTGCACTTTGAAAAGACCAGCTTTAAACCATTTAAGCCCTCTCACTTGTCACTTGTGTTTATGCAATGACACAGTTTCTTGGTGACCATACATCTTCATTCTGTCCTAAAACAAAAACCTTTCTCCAGCAGTTCTAAAGTTAATCATAAACAGCAGGTCAGTAAGACAGTCAAGTTATTTACAAGGGGATACACGGAAGCACCAAACGGAGGTGTGGTCAGACAAAAAGCTTCAGCTTCTACCAACACACTACAGTCACTTAACATCTTCAAATGTTGTTTTTAACCTAGTTTTGATTTATATCTTATTTGCAACAGTGTGAAGCTGAGAACTTCATGCAACTGTATTTCCAAATATAGTCAAGTAATACTCTCTCATACTGAGTTTTTCTTCCACTGACTCTCGAAACACTTTGACAAAGTCAGAATAAACATGAATGTGACAGAACAGTGGTTCATGGTGTACAGGACACAGCAGACTGCTCCCAGGCCTGTCTTCCTCAAACCTTTCCCCCACTTGTTAGAACTCACCTTCTGCAGCTGAGGCAGAACCCTGTGATGCAGAAGCAGCCCGTGTTTGTTCATAGATAGACAGCAGCTCTTCATCTTCCACTGCAAAGTAGACTGGCACAATGGTTTCCATAGCAAGCATTTCTGGCTCTATCTCCATGAATTGCTGAGGATTTAAGTGAGACACAAACTTAGCATCTGCTAAACATGAAAGAGGGCAGGAAAATATTAACAACCAAAGCAGAGAGGTAAGTTTTAATATTAGAATATGACTTGTTGTGCATTACAACAGGAGCTTCCAGTCCTGCAGCAACCCAAGCTTCTCTCAAATAAATCTCCCATCGGAAGAGAAAGAAAACTTTATTTTTTTTTACCCTTACAACATCCTGTGGAACAGAAGAGATAGATCGTGGCAAGATGATGACCACAGCCCCAGCTGACTGGCGGAGAGCCTTCTGGTACTGCTCGTAGGAGAAATCCACCAGCCGCATCATGACGCAGCGGCGGCTCAGGACATCCGCCTCTACTGTGCGTGCTTCTGTGTTGAGCACTGCGCTCCTGGTGCCTGGCAGCAGAGAACAGCAACAGGCCTTGTCAGTTGCTTCAACTTATGCTTTCAACATATCCCCTTTGCTCGAGCCTAGCTCCTTCTCAGAACAGTCTTTGTGACAGTTTGATGAACTTCAGAGCAGCCAGGACCTGCAGAAAGCTAAGTCCGCCTCTTCCCCTTCATCTAAGAAGGAGCAGAGATCTGTGGTTTTTCTTGCAATCCATCAGAGCAACACCTCTGCGGCCATGTCCTGCCAGACTCCCCTTATTCCAGCATTATACAGCCTTGCCCACCTTCCAGTCTACCTGCTCAACACAACCACACAGGCTGTTTGCTCACCTGCACCTGACACCTGCTGGCAGCAACACCTCTGGAGAGAGCCTGGTCTCTCTAGAGCCTCCTGCATCCCCCAGCTGTAGGATCACCCCTGCATACAGAGGATGGAGGCTGTGCAGAGACACCAGGCTACCTACCCTGTGTCACCCAAAAGGCTGCTCTTGCCCACTCACAAGGACAGGTCTGTAGCTGGGGAAGTGACAGATGAGCAGGCTGCTCCTAGCTGCTCGCTCTCTCCTACTCTCAGCTTCAGCATATCAAATCTCCTACATGGAAATGCAATTCTTTGGGAGAACAGCAGTCTGTAGGCTTGCCAGCAGCTCCTGCATTCTCCAAGGGAGGACCAAAAGGACATCTTGTACAGAGAGGTTCAAATCCACCTTACAATTTATAATGCTCCAAATTCAGTTTCTTCTTCTATAACTCTGGCACCTACAGAGGACCTCATCCCTCTACACCCCCACAGAGTCAGGGATGGAACAAGGTGCTCCAGAAGGCATCTGAGCCTCTGTTCAAAGAGGAGTGCTGCTAAGTGTTAGATTTAAACCTGACTTAGCTTAACTTTAGTTTGGTCTCATCAAAGGCCATAGAATCGCCATACACCCGTAAACAGAGTCAAGGCATGATGTAAATTCTCCTCACAGAACTCTGACACTGTATAACAAACAAGTATTAAGAACACCCCTGCTCCAATCAGAAAAAAAATGATTCAAAAGGAGGATAATCCCTCTCTAGTTTCCCAAAGAATGATGTGTAAACATAGCAATATGTGGACTCAAAATTCTGCTCCTCTGACACCTAAACAGAGCAGACACAGCAGTATTTTCTGACAGCACAGCAAGACAGGTTGATTTTCTGTAGTTTCTCTACAGAGAGCTGGTTAATAATAATTCATTTACAAACTAAAGAACTCTATCAGCATTAGAGGAAGTCCAAGTTTCTTCTTAAATTGCTCTATGACTGATGCTGACAAAAAAACTCTTCCCCCTGCAAGAAGAGAGTGAGCAGCAATGTGTATTTGGTCTTTTTGGCTGGAAGATCAAATAGCTTTTATCCTGAAGGACATCTCAGAACACACAAGGTACAGGACCATCAGCTACCCAAAGGGGGTAGGAAGGAGCAAAGGAAACACACAATCCATCCAAGTGGCAGAGGAAACCTGAGGCTGTAATGCCAGATTGTTAACATAAGTCTGAAACTTCGGAAGAGTCACTCATGAACAGAGCACATGTCCTGGCCTGGAATAAAATATCTACAGAAGACTCAGAAACAACCCTTGATTCTGGGTCCGTGAGTGCACGGGGGTAGAGGCTGAGGGTTACAGCACTTCAAGGATTCACACAACAGGGTGTGTTTCTGGCTTGGAAAGGTGTTGCACAATCAGCAGCCTGGAAGTAACAGAACAGAGGAAGTCAACTGTAACACAACAGAAGAATTGTAACAGGATAGGCCCTGAAATGAAGCCACTGGAGCAACAGATACTGCTGAGAATGAAGAAGAGATGGAAGAAGAATCAACCTGATTCTTAGGTTGACTCCTAGAGGAGTCAAAGGCAAGAGAACAAAACTAGGCTCACGACCAAGTATCCCAGAATGCAGGAGGGATGCAGCTGGATTCCTCGACACACAAAGAGCTCAGCCATAGACAAGCCCGTGGGGTCCTTGGCTACCTCTAGGTCACCACGGTGGAGCTCTCAGCACCGTCCTGGCAGTGCTGAGCCTGGGCAGTGGAACTCAGCCAGATGGAGCCCTCCTGCGCACTCCTCCGCTCCTGGGCCTGGCCCCGGGCCCGGCTGACCGCCTCCCAGAGCCCCCGCGAGCCCTCCTGCGGCCTCTTCTGGGCCGGGCTGCCCTCCACGGGCCGCCCGCGGCTCCGCGGCCTACCCGAGGCTCCTCCCTGGGGGTCGAGGTTCCTCCCAGGGCCCACCACCCCTGAAGAGGCCGCTGCCCGGGGTCCGACCTCCCGGAAGAGCCGAGCCTGACCGGGCCGCGCGGTTCTCTCACCGTAGGGCTGCCCGCCCAGCTCGTACTGCTGCATGCGGTAGACCGTAAACGCGTGCGCGGCCTCGGCGGCGGGCGGCGGGCCCAGAAGCAGGAGCACGGCGGGCACGAAGAGCAGGACGCTGAGCGGGAGGCACGAGGCCTTGAGCACCGACTCCAGCACCTCGCCCGCCTCCTCCAGCATCGCCGCGGTCCCGGCACCGCGGCCTGCTCGGCACGCGCGGTACGCACGGTCCGCCCCCGCGGCCTGCCGGGACCCGTAGTTCGCGTCCCGCGGCAAAGCCTACTGGGAGATGTAGTCGCGGCCAGCCCTGCCGGGCCCGCAGGGGGCGCCACGGGCCGGCCCGGAGGGGCCCCGAGCGCTGGACGGGACGGGACGGGACAGGGTGGGATGGAACGGGACGGGACTGGGCGGGACGGGACGGGACAGGGTGGGATGGAACGGGACGGGACTGGGCGGGACGGGACGGGACGGGACGGGACAGGGTGGGATGGAACGGGACGGGACGGGACGGGACGGGACAGGGTGGGATGGAACGGGACGGGACTGGGCGGGACGGGACGGGACGGGACGGGACAGGGTGGGATGGAACGGGACGGGACGGGACGGAACGGGACTGGGCGGGACGGGGGATTTCCGCTGTCCCCGTGAGCGGGGTGATCCCCCTGTCCTGGGAACGGGAGGGCGGGCTCCGGCTGTCCCGGGCCTGCAGGGAACGTCTGCCGGGTGCTGCCCGGCTTCTGGATTACGCGGCGGAGACCGAGTACCTGACCTTCGGGAAGTAAAAAATTTACAGCAAAATTAGCCCAAGACTTTCTGGTCGCCTCGATTTAATGCAAAACAAATGGGTTGATAACAGTTCCCGTGGAGGGGCTGGGCCAGCAGGTTTTGTGTGAGCCCACAGTGCTTCCGTGGCTTTGTCCTTTTTGCAGGGTGAGAGGATGTGTTTGAGTGCTGCTCTGATTATTTCCTGCATTAGGGAATAGAGGAGCAGGGATCTGAGGCACAAGCTGGCAGTGTCTTCAGGCCCTAGTGTGTCTCTGTCAGACCTAGGGTGGCCCCAGGCTCCCCAGTCACTGTGGTAGTGCCCGGGCTGTCACTGCAGGTGCAGGCCCATGCCCAGAGGCAGGGCAGGGCTCTTACTTCTTGCTGCCAGACTGTAAGCACTGTCACAGCATTTGCCCGGGCATAGTGCCCAACCTCAGCACTCCAGGGAGGGTCTAGGCTGTTGCTGCAGCCCTCTGCTGTCCTCTGGCTGGTTTGTGCTGCACTGCAGGTGGGCACTTGATTCCCGGCCAGGGGGCTCAGAACTGCCCCACAACAGCACACAGTTGCACTTGTAAATCCAGTTGTTCTTGACATCAAGCCTGCATTCTTTCCCAGCAGCTGTGCCCGTCACAGCAGTTCCAGAAGGCTGTAAACTTCAGGAGAAGACTCAAAGTATCGCCTCCAGCCCTGCATGATGTGAAGCGGCAGCACTGCCAACCCAGCCCGACCTCAAGGGGTAAGGGGGGCCATCTGGTTGGGGATGCCCAGCCTACTTGTCACTGTGCCCTGGGGCAAAATACCCTCATCTGGGCAGGTACAGTGTCTGTCTGCACACACAGAGCACACACACTTATAACCTAGGCACTGCAGTTTCTCAGCAGAGCATCAATCCTAAAATGTACCCATATCTTTCTCTCCCAGCCTGGGAGCAATGCCTATCCCTGTGCTGCACCCACACTGAAACAAAATCCCAGTCTGATGGGACTGGAAAGCCCAGTTAACAACTGGGGTGGGGCTGCCCCTGGTCAGCCTGAGTTGCACGTAGGCTACAGTTCTGCCAGGCCAGGACCAGCAGAATGAGGTCCTGGGAGCTATCTGGCACCTCTTGCTCTTCCCATGGCCTCTCAGAGGCTGGGGAGATTGCTCATCATGCTGGAGTTGCTGGAGAGAGGTGCTCTGGGCCTAGCATTCAGTGCCACAGAGCTGCGGAAACTCTCCCGGTAGCGCAGTGAGCTCTCTGTGGATGAGCCAGAGTTGATATCTGTGATGACCATGCAGTTCCCAGGCTTGCAAAGCCCAGCCCTGACACAGCAGCAGCACAGCAGGCTTCCCACAGCACGGCGCACCTCCACGCTCCTCAGGGAATAGATGATGGGGTTGACGCCTGAGTTAAGCAAGGCCAGAGCCAAGGTCCAGTCCAGGCTGTGGAGGTGTGTGCAGGTCTGGGTCTCACAGAAGACATCAAACAGCAACAGAACAAAGAGGGGACTCCAGCAGATGATGAAGGCACCCAGGATCATCAGCACAGTCTTAAGCAAGCGCAGGGAACGCTTGCGGCTGTGCCGAGAACTGGTTTGCTTAGAACTGGCCTGGACCAGTTGGAAAATGGAGATGTAGAGGCCAATAATCCCCAGGAGGATGATACTGAACATGACTACAGAGAAAAGGATGTAGTTCTTGGAGTATAGAGGCAGGAGCACAGAGCAGGCACTGAAGTCACACAGGCAGTTCCAGCCCAGCAGTGGGAGCAGTCCTATGACGAAGGCCAGCAGCCAGCAGGAAATGATGAGGCCACGTAAGCGCAGGGTCTTGCTGGCTTCATTCTCAGCAATTGGCCTCACCATGGCACTATAACGCTCGATGGCTGTCACGAGCAGGCTGAAGGTGGAGGCAGCCAGCGCAATGAACAGGATGCCTTCCCGCAGGAACCAGAGCTGAGGTGAAAGCTGGAAGGTCTTCTTGCCTGAGAGGCAGAGATTAGAGAGGTAGGCAATTCCTGCAAGCAGGTCACTCACAGTGATGCTGGCAATGCAGGAGTAGACCCAGCGGCGGGCTCTCAGACACCGCAGGATGGCCAGCAGCACGAGCAGGTTCTCCAGGATGATGATGCAGCTGATGATGACGAAGATTGTGCGGATGAGACCCATGCCCTCGTCCTCAGACTGCCGGTTGGTTAGCTTGCCTGTGAAGTTGTAGTGCTGCAGGATGATGTTCACATTCCTCATGGCAGCCAGCTGCAGGCAGGAGCCTTTCCTGTCGAGCAGGTCAAGTCTGAGCTCAGGATATTGAGCAGAGTCCAGTGGAAGGAGAAGGGAGTGATTCAACAACCAGCTTAGCACTGGACCATCCATCTTCTGAGGCTGGGTCAGCAGCCAAGGGATACACGATGGAGGAAGGGATCAGGTAGAGTTTGGGGCAGAGCAGATCCTCTGTTTAAGGGCTAAAGTAGCCATGAGACTCTGCCACACAGGACTGGCTCTAAACCCAACAGCCCTGCTTAGTGTGGAGAGGAGAGTTAGAGTCCTGTCTGTCAGCCCTGCAGCACTGAAAGAGCAAGGGGAGAGGAGAGTGAGGTGTTTTGTAAGTCCACTGTGAACATAGGCTTCCTGTTGTTTAATAAAGTTTCCTGTTGTGAGTGAGAGTTACTGTTTCTAACAGCTATCACCATTTCTTGGTAAGGGTTTGGCTATTGTCAGCTTTGCTGTGGTTGTGATGGTGGGACATGAATGAAATAATATGTCAGGCCCCTCTTTGGATCAGAGCAGTCTGGGTCAAATGAAGCAACACCTCCCACCTTGATGGGTGAGGCCCGTGGGGCTGAACTGAACCAAGTGCTAGTAAGAGCTATGAAAGCAGACAGTTGAGATACTAAGTGCTTTGCCTGTTGTGGTACTAAATTCATCCCTGAACCTGCCAGAGAGCAACTGCCCCTTCATCAACTGCCCCGTGCACCACCCACGATCAGATACATCCTTCTTCAGGAGTAAGCTCCATGCTGTCACCCCTCTGGGCTTCTCTGTGGGCCCAGCTCCTGCAACTCTCTCAGAACAGGTCCATCCACGTCCTGCAATCTGTGCAGCAACTCCAGGCACCCATGTGACTGAAGCTGGGGCTTAGCTCCATCCAGTTCAAAGGGAACCATCTGGTCAAAGCTAAGCATGTGCCCTGACACTGCACCCCCCCACCTTCAAGCACATTCTAAAGATGGGCCAGAATCTTCCCATTGTCTGGGTCACAGGCAGGGAAGGAGGCAAAAAGGTGCTGCCTCTTGTCATTGCAGAAGGCACAAAGTGCTGCACTGAGATTGGAACCAAGGAATCCAAATGTGACTGTAATATTAATGTCTATCATTGACCTATTCCCTACATCTGCAAAACTCAACTGGAGAGAGTCTTGCAATGCAATGTTCCCAATTGTGGCTGGGAATTTGCCTTAGGACTCACCTGTCATGGCTGGTATGAGGCTCTTGCTGCCAGAGGGAGGTTCCGCAGTTGGCAGTGCTCTCCAGATGCTTGTCCAAGGCCCAGGACAGAGCAGGTAGAGGGGAGAACTCCTTGTGCAAAATAAGTGAGACTTCTACCTATCAAAGTTGAAAAAGGGAAGTTACAACATCAACCACATTCTGTGTGGAGGATGGACCCCACCCAAATCATCTGCAAAAAGGCATAGATAAAAGAAAGACAGAGGACCTTTTAACTTGGGATCACAGCAGATGTCCTACTTTCCCCTGTGTTCTCACTCCAGACTGGCACAAATTCTCACCCCAGGCTGAGAGCAAAGAGCGGTGACTTCTTCCATCAGCATGGCAAACAGGGAGTTGTCCAGGGAGTCTATCCACTGCTGGATGAGTGGAGAGATTCTAGCCTGGATGGCAGCATAGACAAGTGGAAAATGCATAGGGGGCTCCTGCTGCAGGAAGTCATGTGCAAGCAAGAGTGGTTCTCATCAAAAGCTGAGGGCTCCATCCTCCACCTTCACCCTTTCAGCCGTTGTTTTGGCCTTTTATCAGCAGTGTGGAAAGAAACTCATGCTGATAAAGTCAGCAGATGACCCCAAGATTGAAGGAGCGGAAATCAGCAGGAAGGCTGGGCCAGGAGTGCAGCTCAGTTTAGAGGAGTGCAGGTTTGCACGTTCAGCACAAAGAGCACACTCCCAAATGGTCTGGGCTGATGCTCCCCGTGAAGAACTGGAATCCAAAGGGTCATTGTGACCCTTACACATAACCCTCACGTTGCTCTTGCTTCAGAATGAGCCTCCGGCTAACTTGTCTGCTCAGGACAGAACTGGTGGAGTGTTCCTGAAAGATCAGAGGGCCCTAAGTAGCTTCTCAAAGAGCTGGCAGCATGTGAGGAGTCTCAGAACAGAGATTCCTGACAGGAATGAGCTCTTTGCAGGGGAGATCTGTGGAGAACATGAGATTGGTGGGAGGCAAACATTTTTAATGACAGGAGGGCTCAAGGCAGATGAGCAGCTGGGACAGGTTGACCCACTCACCCATGGGGTGCCAGGTCCTCTGGACCAGCAAAATATTGGAGGCTCTTCCTAATGCCCCCTATATAAGCACATCAGGTGTTGCCTAAAAGACAGTGCTAATTGTTTTGTCAAGAGCTGTTCCAGTGAGGCAAAACCTTGTTCCTTGCTTGTCCTAGAATCTAGTTTGTTTGGTCATTCCATGGCAGAATGAGCTGGGTACCTGTGAGGTATGTTGCATGCAGAGAGAGGGACTAGCTCTGGGAAGCTGCCTGAACTGTGTCCCAGCTGTGTCTCAGCCCTTCCAGCACACACACCCCCTCCCCCCCCCACTGCAAGTCACCACACACCTCAGACACTGCTCCTGCCTCACAGCAAGTCAGGGTAGGGTCCCATCCCCAGAGGAGCCTGGAGATGGTTCTTGGGTCCCCTGCCCTCCATGCAATTTGCTCAGCAGAGCACAGCTGGCTGGCACAAATCCAGCCCCATGTCCTCCTCAAAGCTGCTGCCACCAGACCTGAGGTGTGGAGTCCCCAGCTCCATGGCTAGGGGGGGTGAGAGTTCCCTCGGCTGGGCACCCACACGAGGGAGAGTTCCTGTTGTACAGCATGTCCCTGCTGCTATCTGCACAGACGCAGGCTGAGCTTTATCTTGGTACTTCTCCTTTGCTGCCATTTAATTTCAGATGTTCTTTCTTAGCAATGAAGTGAGGCGGGGTCAGGACACCCCATCCCGCGATGTTTCTCATCTCTTTCCTCCAGATAAAAGCTACAGTCTACTTGCAACTGCCTGATAGCTGCCAAGTCCTGGGTTTGGAAGGACCGGGGGGGCATGGGTGGCAGCTGCAGCACTGTGGACCCCCTACAAAATCCATGGCTAGAGCAGGTATTGAGGGATACTCACGTGAGTATCCTTAGCAGCAGAAGCCCTGGAACTCTCCAGAGGTCAACAGGAAGGCAAAAGCACCTAGGGCCCAGAGGGAGGAATTTGTCTGCAGTCAGGGATGCCAGAGAGAACAGGACAGTAGCAGCCTGAAGCCCAGCTCCCTGGGTCCATGGCCAGTGGCCTGCCCAGTCCCTCCTTCCCTGGGGCTGCTGCTCTCAGGAGGGCATCCGGTCCCAGATTGTAGGGGGCCACAAGCAGCTGCAAGGGAAAGACAGCAAGTTACAAATACAAGATAAAACATCGATGATTTCTGTTGAGGTTTTCCTGCTGTGGTGCTGCACAGTTCTGATTAAAACTTGTATTTTCTGATAATATGATTTAAAAAAAAAGTGGGCAAAACTCTACAGAGTGGGCCCTGTCAGGCAGCCCCCAGGCTGGCTCATGAACAGCTGGCATCCTCATCTATGTCCCACATCTCCACCTCCCCACCCACCCATCCTGTCCCTGCTGCATGGCCCTAGCACAGCCCAACATCAGCCAAGGCATCCACTTGCCCGCAGGTGTTTTTCTGCTCCAGGAAGGGTGGAGTTGTGCTGGTTTAAAAATGACTGATCACTCCTGGTAGTTGGGTGGTTGCATTTCCTCACTTTGGTCTCTTCTGCTGTGTAGCAGCAGGCAGTCCTCTTTATAGAGGCACAATGTAGTCTCCAACCTGGCAGGATGCTTCTGGACCCAGAGGAGCCAAGAAGAGTCAGCAAGGCCCCTCTGACGTGGGCTGACACCAAACCCTCCTGGAGACCTGGCCCTTCACAGTGCTCAAAGAAATGTCCCAGGGACAGTTGTTGTGTCTGGCTGTCAGTTCATTGAAAGTGGGTGTTGGTGATGGTGGGTCTCTGTAGGAAGTCTCTGAAGTGCATCTTTTGATTTGAAGGTAAACAAGAATATTGAAAGAAAAAGTTTCAGGATCATCTCCTCTAGACCACATTAATGACCCTAAATGGCAAAGTTTTGTTGACTGTTTGTTTTTTAAGTGGCTTTTCTTTAAAACCTTGCATTTCCTCAAGCCAAGAACATTAAACAGAAACTGTGGGAGAAATGTTAAATCACACCTAAAAAACACCCTAGAACACCTCTCCTGGTCAGCATCCCTGAGGCTTTGGGACTATGGTGTGCCAGGCTCTCTCTGCCCTGGCCTTTCTGTCTTGTGCTATCGCTCATCAATCACAGCCACAGGCCACATGGGCACTGAGCAGACCAGGGCAGCAGCGATGCCCATAGACCTGCAAGGGTGCTGCCCTGTTCTGATTAGCACAATCAGCCCACTGCACATGGTTTCCTGGCTGCTGGGTACAGCTGGTTCCAGGGTATAAAACCAGCCTCTGGGCACAAGGAAACTCAGACTTCCACACATCTTGGAAGGAGTGTCCAGCTGTGGGAGAGATGTGCCAGCCTCAGCCACTGCTGGCCCTGCTGCTCCTGCTCTCCTGCCCATGGGCCAGTGCCAGTAAGCTGGGGTTCTGCAAGCTGTTGCAAGTGAGGCTGCTCGTCTGGGCTCTCACCTCAGGAGCCATTGGCTCATTCTGCAGTGGGGTGTCTTTCAGGTGCTCTACAGGGTCAGATTGTGGGGGGCCATGAGGCGCAGCCGCACTCCCACCCTTACATGGCATACCTGAAGATAGGGATGTCTGCCTGTGGGGGCTTCCTGGTGGCCCCTGAGTGGGTGATGACAGCCGCACACTGCATGGGGTGAGTATTTCATATGGGAGCTTTATCCCCTTGTTTCTCACTTAACCTGGGATGTCCTTCACTGGAGTGTTTTTGGAGTAGGTTCCTCTTCCTCCTGTTCTCTGCAGCTCTCTCCACCTGCCTGCCAAAGGGGAGGGAGCTGGGTGACACCCAACCTTATTCCCCCCTCTACGCTCTATGTTGTGGCCAGGAATATCACAGTCATCCTGGGGGCTCACGACATCCACAAACCAGAAACAACCCAGCAGGTCCGGGGAGTTCTCAGATACCACGAGCACCCTGAATACGACCCTGACACCATGTTTAATGACATCATGTTGCTCAAGGCAAGGCGGTTCTGCAGTGGGCAGTGGGGCAGAGGGTGGGATGGGGCTGTGGGTCTGGCAGGGTCCACCTCTGCAAAGCTGCTTCTGCCCAAACTGCTGGAGGCAGGCAAGACTGGGAGGGACCTGGGAGGGAACCACTGGCAGGGCTTGGAGCCATATGCCACATTCACAGGAGCTCACTAGAGCTTACAGTGCCACATGTCCTGCTAGACCTCCCCTACCTCTGCGTAGAAAGCATCCTTCAGCTCTCCTACTCATAACCTTCTCCAAAACCCTGCTTTCTCCCAGCTGACATCAAAGGCCACTCTCAATGACTATGTCAAGACCATTCCACTGCCCAAGACCAGCAGTGACCTCCCCACAGGCACTAAGTGCAGCATCGCCGGCTGGGGTCTGATTGATGACGACCAGGTGACCAACAAGCTCTTTGAAACCAAAGTCTCCATCTACAGCCGCAGGAAATGCACCCTCTTCTATCCACATCTTGACACTGGCATGGTCTGTGCTGGCAGCTTCCATGAGCTGAAGGATTCCAGCCAGGTAGGGGCTGCCAGCAGGCTGGGGTTTGGCTCTCTGAGAGCAGATGCTGCTGCTGCCACAGATGGAGCTGATTCCCAGGGCAGGCAACAAGCATTTGATCTGTAGCTCCCATATGGACCAACTCTCTGGACATCTTGACACCACAGTCCCTGCACAGTAGCAGAGGTAGAGCCCCAACTCACCAGCTTGGGGCAGCTCCTCCAGCCAGGTGGGCATGTGGGGCAGCAGCAGAGCCATAGCCCCCCTAGGCAGGGAGGGACCAGGGGAAAACCTGTTCCCACAGGGAAGAGGCCTCTAAAATCAGTCTCATCTATCCCTAGGGAGATTCTGGTGGGCCCTTGGTATGCAATAAAGTGGCACAAGGCATTGTTTCCTTTGGGTATAACGCCCCACCTGGGGTCTACACCCGCATCTCCAACTACCTGCCCTGGATCAAAAAAGTCATGAAGAAGTAGCAGCAGCCACGGCACTTGCTCCAGCTCAGATGTGGCCCTGGAGACTGCAATGGCTTCCTTCCTCTCCCTGCTGAAGGCTCAACTCCCTCCTCTCTCCTTGGGAACCCAAGTGACTTGGTGCACATGAGGGTCCTCTTCATTCTGTTCTGAGGCTGCTGGCTGTCCCCTTCCCTGCCCATCTCAGGCAGCCACTTCAGAGCCATATTAAACACCCTGACAGAGGCAAGAATAGTCCCTGATGGCACAGAAAGAGGCTGTGCCACAACAGACCCCATTTCCTTCAGAGATAACACTGTCCCCTCTTGAACCTTGCTGCACTTAAAACATCCACAGTAAACTCAAAGCTGCATTTCCCAGTGTGTGTTGTCTTTCTTGTGGTCTTGCCACAGAGAGAAGGAGGGAGGGTCTGGCTGCTGCAAGTGAGAGGCCAGACTGTTGGGACAGCAGCAGTCATGGCTCTGCATCCTGAATTGCTGGCAAGCTCAGAAACGAGCTATGGTTGCCCTTCCTGGGGTCATGGGGATGATGAGAGGTTTGCAAGGAGAAGAAAAGCCCAGTTAGAAATGGGGTGGGAAAAGTGATGGGCACACACTCGATTTACCGACTTCAGCATCATTATCACCTTCCTGGAAGCAGCTGACAGCTGACAGGACATGGTGCATCAGCAGTACCAAGACTCAAAAGCTGCCATTCTCTACAGAGTAAAGGCTATCCCCTCTGCAGGGACCTTATGGTTGGGAGATGTTGGACCCTAGGACAGAGTACAGCCAACACAGCAGGCTGGATGACAGGGTAAACCAGCTGTAGGAGGCTTCACTGGACTTTTTGTGGACAGTGGCCTTGGCATGGGGAAGGTGGCTGTTGAGATGTCAGGGACAGAGCTTTAGGATCCCAGAGAGGAGGCAAGGGCGAGTCCTAGCTGGGGGCTGTCTGCTGTGAAGCTGGTTGGCATGTTTCTGTTCCTCTTGGCAGAGTCTGTTCCAGTGGTGGCCCAAACCCAAAAGGCTTACGGCTCTCCTCTCAGCCAGATGGTGCTGAGAGACAAGCTTCCCCCACAAAGGATGCATGAGCACTGTTTTCAGACAGCTCCTGCACTGGAGTCTGAACCGCCTTCCATAGTCTGCACCAGAAGAAAAACAACCTGCCCTCTGAGCCCTCGTCTCCTTAGTTCTAGTTAGTTTCTGGTAGCATCTCTTATATACAGAGAGAGCTAGAGCTTCCTGGAGGAGATGATGAGGGACAGAGACAATGCATTGGTAAATAACTGAGCTACTGAGCATTCTGGCACAGAATGACAGATGTTTGTGCAAACTCAAGAGGAGACTAAGCTGGTTTGTGGTGGGGAAAACCGGTGGGGAATTTTAAACATATAGAAAATGTGTGCAAGCCAAGGGAAGGGGGTGCTTACCCTGCTCTCATGGTCTTTCAAAGTCTCCCACTAGTCGCTTCCATCAGAGGGAGGAGATGACCTACAGTCTGCCCTGATGTCTGCTCATATGTCCTCCATGTTCCTGCCTGGGATGAAGGGAAACTATGTCACCTTTGCCTTCACCACCCAGGCTGCCCCGGGGAAACTGAGAAGGTTCCATGTTTGGGCTTTTGCTCACAGCTGCTATCAGTTAAGAAATCTGCAAGTGAACAGGCTACAGCTGCTTATCTGTGCAGTGTGAATCTTTGTCACGTCAGGGTTTTCCTCGAAGCTCCAGCCCTTGCAGTCTTTGCACGAGAATAAGAACCTTTAGGCTTAAATTTGGGTTTTACCCAGTGGCACTGGAGGCAGAGAGGAAAGCAAATTTACCATCAGTTAGCGAGGGCAGCAAGGAAGTGTCAGCCCCATTTCGTCACAGCTGAACTGTGAATGTTCAAACTTTGCTCTTATCATAGAATCCCGGAATGGTTTGAGTTGGAAGGGCCCTTAGGGGTCATCTCATTCCATGCCCCCTGCCATGGGCAGGGACATCTTCCACTAGACTAGGTTGCTCCAAGCCCCATCCAACCTGGTCTGGAACACTTCCAGCAATGGGGCAGCCACAGCTTCTCTGAGCAACCTGAGCCAGGGCCTCACCACTCGCACAGCCAAGAATTTCTTCCTAATGTCTGTGCAGTGTTATAAACACATTCACAGCAATTTTGCTCCATTAGACAAGACTACACCTACTGAGAGAGAGCAGGAAAGCCCTCAACTGCCACTTCATGGTCTTCGGAACTGGTGCATCAGGTGAAAGAAATCTTGATCTTGTAGGGCTGCTGCTGAAAATTAAGAGAGTTTGCAAGTGTTCAACAACAAATAGAAGCTGCAAGGGAAGAGCCCACTGGAAGTCAAAGAGATAAGGGTGAGCATGTTCCCCACAGCTTCCAGCACAAAGGCAATGACCTAAAATTGGCTTTGGGTTCATAAGGACGTCAGATACCCCAGATCAGGCCCAAGATGAAGGTGGGTTGATGCCCAAGGCTAAGATTGACTGAATTCCCCTCTCAGATTGCTGAGGTATGCAACTTGCGGAGAGATTCGTCAGATGAGTCTGACTTCTGCGGTTTCCTGGAGTCTGGTCTCAGGCTATAAAACCTTGCTGGGAGCAGGAAGAGACCCTGGCTGCACCCCACCTCTAAGGGATCCACTGAAGCCCAGAACACCATGATGGAGCACCTGCAGACACTCCTGATCCCTCTCCTGATGGTGATGTGGCCCCCAGTCAACACCAGTAAGTAGAGTGGGCTGGAAGCAAGGAGAGGGCTGGGGAAGGATGAGTCCCAGACAGCATATCCTGTGCCCTCCAATCCCCTTGTCCTCAGTCCTATCCATTGCAGATTATTCCTGGAATCGGAGGGAGGGAGGAGGTGAAGCCAGGACACCCTCCACACCCTACATGGCCTATCTGCAAGGAAAGAACAACCATTCCTGCGGAGGGTTCCTTGTGGCCCCGAATTGGGTGATGACAGCAGCTCAGTGCCTTGTGTAAGTTTTTGCTGTGTTCATACAGCACCTGGTGCAGTGAGGCGATCCCACCACCATGACCTGGGTACCATCTCCTACACAGAGGTCTAAGAGTTGGAGTCGCTTCCCACATGGCCATGGGCAGACTCTTTTCCCAGCAGGGAGCACAGGCTGTGCTGTGGGGCAGGGCACAGCTGGGGGGACAGCACCACAACAGCTCTCCCTGCAACCTTCCCTGTCTGTCTCCCCAGCCCGCCCTCATATACTTACCTTTCTTTTTTATTCCCACTCCATGACTCATTTTATTCTTCCTAGATGCCACCCAGAGGTCAAAGTGGCTTCTTCCCTTGTTGGCACTGACCTGCTGGCATGGCAAGGATGGTTGTTGTCAGGCTTTGTCCTTTCTGCCACCAAGAGACTGTTCGAGACTGTTAGCAGAATTACCTACTATGAGCAAGCTGCTTGCCCAGCCCTTTTCCATCTCTCCAGCTGGACAGCCTAGGGCACGGACAGGCAGGAGGGCTTTTCTATATGTGCATGACTCTGGGTGTAGCTACCGCTCACCTCAGGGCTGACAGATCTGCCCTGGTGCCAGTGACCCGGGTTCAGGGCCAGTCCCCACACCCGAGCAGCAAAAGGGAGGACCAGCAGAACCCAGGAGCCTGGATGTCCACATCTCACCTGGGAGACACATGTACCCAAGGTCCTCCCAGTTTTCCCAAGGCAGCCCCTTCTGCAGGTGATGTAAAGGCAAGTAAAGGGACATAGAAGGCTCCTGATTCAAAAATCCCTTGACTTCCACGGACCTATGAAGCCCAGACCAACAGTCCACATATCTTAGTACACAGCAGCAGCACTGGATCAAATCTGCCCAGTTTGAGATCTAGAGGTAAAAGAACCCTTGCAGACTCTGCCTGTAAGACAGGAACTTGCTCTGCCTCTTGTCTGGGCAGATTCACTGGCAGAGCTCCTTGATCCCACCGTTCTTCTTAAAACATGCATATATAACACAGTATGTATATAGAAAGTATATACTATACACACTACATATGTGTACTATTGTATATATAGCATACAGTGTATCTATGCTAATAGTACATATACATTAGTATATATATGAGAGAGCATACGCATAGATATACATATATATATATACACACACACTCTATACACAATGTATGTAATATATGTACACATGGCTGGTCTCTCCTGGCCGTACCCTGGGGAGATTAGCCTCAGTGTTACCAGGCAAGACAGGAAAAAGCTAACAACATACACTATGCTTGATTTTTATCAGCCACAAACCTCTGACTGTCATCCTCGGAGCCCACACAGTCCAAACGAAAGAGGAAAGCTGGCAAAAGTTCGAAGTCGAAGAGTATCACTGCCACCCATACTTTACCAGTCCTAAGGAGGGAAATGACATCCTCTTGCTGAAGGTAACTACCTGCCTGGAGCAGAAGGGAACAGCCTTCATCACAGCAAATGTACAGGCCAAGCACTTATTTCTCTGTTTTCTGTCCCCTTGCCCAGCTGAACGGCAACGCCACCAGCAACAGCTTCGTTAGGACCATTTCCTTTGAAAAATCCAAAGTTCGTGGTGGGACTGTGTGCAGCGTAGTCGGCTACAAGACACCCACTGGCACATTACGTGAAGCCACTGTCACCATCATCAAACAAAGGGACTGCCTCAGCCACTACCCTGGGCTTGCTGAAAACTTGATTTGTGGCCGCAGCACATCTGCTGAGGTACCTGAAAAGGTCAGTCTCTGACTTAGGTAGGAGGAAACTATAGGGACAGTTTTAGCCCTGGGTGAAGCAGAAGGGACAAGAAGATCCTTGTCTTCCCATGGCAGAGGACCTTGGAGTCTGCAGCAGCATTGTGGGATAACAGCTTGGTCAGAGGGGTTCCCTCTAAGTCTCGTAGCTGGTCAGAGTGCGTTTTGGATCTGCAGCCAGCAGAAGGGCAGAAATGAAGCTTCAGTGTTGGTCCAGCTGTAGCTGTGCTGGGTCCCAAGCAAAGCTGTCAGCAGTCCCTTTTGGACTCAGAGCTATCCCCATCCACTGCGAGTCCAGGCTTCTCCTGGAGAAGCTCTGTCCTGATATATGCAGCCTCCCTGATCTTTGCAAAGGCACCCTTTCCCTGGGGACCCCACATAAATCAGCACTGATCTCTCTCCTCCTCCATTTCACAGGGTGATGCTGGGGATCCACTGGTCTGCAATAACAAAGCCTATGGCATCTTCTCCTACAGGCATAACAACTGGCCCGGTTTCTACACACACATCGCTCATTACCTTTCCTGGGTCAATAGTGTCATGAAGTCAGCATGACCCTGTTCTCCCTGCAGCTGCTGCCCTGGAGAACTCACACTCCAGAGCCTCATCCTCACCAGCTTTCTTTTCCTTTCTCACTGGGAAACATCCTACACTGATCCTCATGGATGTGACGAGGACTTCTCTGTGGCAAAGCCGAGCTATGCCAGTGGGGGGCTCAGCACAGAGATCAGGGCTCGACTGTGTTTATTCCCTGTGCAAACTGGGGAGTACCTGGTCACACAGTGTGTGCTTCCACACTGCTGCCCTTATTTACCCCTCTTTCAAGCTGGCTGTGGTTACAGCTCTAGAGGGGAAGCAGCAGGGCAGCCCCAAGAGAGGTGCCAGTAGCTGCTGGGATGTCTGTTATCCTTTGGGGAGGGCTGTATAACTAGATCATATGGATCCAAAGAACAGCATCCTCCCTGACCTTTGCATTTGTGACAACAGACGTTTGGGTGTCCTTTGCCCAAGCCCTGAGGTTTTAAGGTTGCCCAAGCTCCAAGGAAGACACTTTCAGTTCCTGCTTCACTACTGCTGCTGCTGTCCCCTACCTCTGAAACCTGCTGCCTCCTTTCTCCCCTCTTCTGTACCTCCAGTGTTGTAAGAATACATAAAAACAATAAATTGCATCTCTATTTGAAAGCCTTTTTCCTGATCTGATTTGGATTTCTCCTGGCCACTGGGTTCAGTCCTGAACAGCTCAGAAGAAAGTTGCTGCTCAGACAGCTGAATCTCAAGCTGGAAGCTTCTATCCCAAAAAATGGTCTCAGTTTTCTGTCTCACCTAAACCCTCAGAATAGGTGTCAAGCCTGGATTTCAGGGCAGGGGCTCTCCTCACATGCAGTTGGGCACAAACACTCCCTCCAGGTACCTCTAAGCTGGTACTTTGGGGGACTTCCTCCCTCTATCACATTGGCTCCCCCACGGGCCCCTTTTGATTCTACTCCATCCCACCTCTGCCTGGTTGCCATCAACAGAAAACCAGCATCTTCTCCTCAGTGCAACTCATCAAGAAGCAGCAATTGCAGGTCCTGCCAGACTCATCCCTTCTCCCTCAGTGTTGTGTTGATTTTGCTGTTGATAAGAACGATGACTTTAACCTCTTCTAACAAGAAACATGGGCAAAGAGAGCAGCAGCAGCAGCAGCAACTGAGCCATGGAGGCTGGAGTGATTTGGGCAGAAGGTACTGCAGCAGCTCAGCTCTCCAGAGCACAACACAGTTTTAGGGGGGCTCTGACTCCATCCCTACCACTGCCCTCTCCAGCTCTCGGCACCCCACTGCAGCTGGACTCAGGCAGGTGCCCTGAGGGAGGGACATCCTGACCAACTCTCTGTCACACACAGGTGTTCATCAGGGCACACTGAGTCATTCAGGTCTTTTTAGTGAAGTTGGCACCAAAGAGAAGAACCACACAGACCCACCATGGCCTGATGTTCAGCAAATATTTTCTTTCTACATTTTGTGGTTTAAGACAAAAAAATAAATCCCCACCTCTACTATAATAGAATTTAAAAAATATTACAATCAAAGGAAATTAACTTGGAGATTTGGCAAGAAGAGACCTAGCAAGAGGAGAGCAAACATTTCCATCAGATGCTTAGGATTCCATTGAAGGATTCCAAAAACCCACTTCTGGGGAGTGTTTGCCTTTCCTTATGTTCACCTCTGCCTAAAGGGGACTTGTCAGAGGCCAGTACAGTATCTGCAGCAGCACTGTATACAAAACACTAGACCAAAGATTTGAAGACTCCAAATACTTTCCAAACCTTGTCATTTAAAATGCCTGAAAGTCCCCAGGTCACTCACCTAAGAAAAGCTGCAACTGAGCATAATTATCAATGGGTTTTCTGTGGATGATGTTGCACAAGGAGAGCACCTTTAGCACATTTCTGCTGAGTTTTCTATGCACAGAGTGCCCTCTTTGGGCTGGCAACAGTGCGTGTTCTTCAAGGTTCTGTCTCTAAACAACTTCTGAACTGATCCAAAAAATTTACCTCTTGCAGTTTGGAAGCACATTCATGGCTAAGCCGAGGAAGGCAATTCCCTTAGGGTTCTTTATATCATTTAATCTGCTCTGAATCAAGGGTTGCAAAGCAGAAAACTCTTTTCCAATCAGGCTGCCAAATCCTTTCCAGAAGAATTCCAAAGGTGCTCTCATCCTGCATCACCTTGACTGTGCAAAGAGCCTGTCAGCTTTTGAAGAATTGCAGATTGAAGGCCTGAGACACTAGGAGGAAGGATACAAACCAGCATAGCAGGAGAGACCTGCCTTTTGGGTGCTTTGTGAAAAAACCATGTATTTCCATGGCCAGGAGCTACAGATACTCACCTGAGATGAAGGGAGGAGCAGTTCTGGGAGCAGTGCATAGAAGTGGCCAGGGTCAACAAGTAATGGCACCCAGCTGGGGATGCAGAACAGCCCTGGGCAGCAGCTGCGGTCCCTGCCAAGCCCCATCCTCATTCAGTTCGGCAGATGCATTATCCAGGAGCTTCATACAGACCAAATGTGGAGTCTTGTCATACACTCCAGTATGGG